TGGAGGACTCCTACCCTGTCACACGCGGTCTCGCCCTATGGAGGACTCCTACCCTGTCACACGCGGTCTCGCCCTATGGAGGACTCCTACCCTGTACACGCAGTCTTGCCCTATGGAGGACTCCTACCCTGTCACACGCGGTCTCGCCCCATGGAGGACTCCTACAGTGTCACACGTGGTCTTACCCTACAGAGGATTTCTACCCTGTCACACACGGTCTCTGGGAGTTGAAATAAAATTGATGGCCCCCAACAATAATATCAGCAGTATCTGGCATGGTGGTTCACCTCCTCCCTTCTCCTGGACTTGCGGTTTTCAGGATGCCACCCTCTCTGGGGGACTCCTTGTGTGGTGCTGTAGGATCAGCACTGGACTGCGAACCACAAGGTGGACAGTTTAAACCCACCAGCTGCTCCTTGGAAGTCCTATACAGGGTAACTATGAGTGGGAGCCAACTCGACGGCACATAACAACAAACCCTGTCTGGAAAGTACTTCTCAGACTCTTTGGTTGGCTGCTCTGCATCTCTCTAACTGCCCAATGCTGGAGTGCACCAGGGTTCAGAACTTAGGCCTCTTCTTTACTGACTATACTGGCTCTTACCCAGTGTCATGACTGTATTCCCACATACTGCTAGTTCCCACATGTACATGTCCTATCCAGGTCTCTCTTCAGAATTTAAGACCTGCCTCCTTGAATGCTCTATGTGGATGACTGGGGGACAACTCAAAAATAATATCTCCCCTCAACAACAAGAACCAATAAAAAAATGAACAAAGGACCTGAGCAGACATTTCTCCAAAGAAGATCCACAGATAGCCAATAACCGCATGAAAAGATGCTCAACATCATTAGTCACTATTGTGGTGGTGTGCCACTGAGTCGATTCCAACTGTACTTCATAGGTTTTCCAATGGGTACTTTTACTTAGAGTAGATTACTAGGTCTTTTTTTCAAGGCACCTCTGGGTAAACTGAAACCTCTAACCTTTTGGTTAATCCTAATCACCCATCACCCAAGGAATTCTCAAACCTCTTCACTCCTCTCCCTACCACCTTAGTCTAGGTTATCACCATGTCTCACCTGGACTTCTGCAATAGTGTCTGAAGTGGTCTTCCACTGCTTTCTCTTTTCCAGTCCATTCTCTACAGAGCAAACAGAATGTTTTTCTCCTGAAAGATTTCAAGCAGAGAAAAATAAGCAATAAGATAATGAGCATCCATCCAACTTCGTCAAATAACGTATCATACGGTTTCCAGTTGTTCTAAAAGATATATAATAGCACATATGTGGCTGAAGCCCCTTTGTACCCCTGTAGTCCTATCCTGCTCCCTCCTCAAAAGTAACTACTCAAGCTGGTGTATGTTGGCAGTTTTCAAACTGTAGTTCCTAGACTAGCAGCATCAGTACCACCTGGCAACACGTGAGAAATCTGAATTCTTGAGTCCTTACATCATCCCAACTGAATCAAAGGTTTGGGAGTGGGGGCCAGCAATCTGTGTTTTAACAACCCTCCTGGTAACTTGAATTCACACTAACTGGTGTATATAATTCTCATTATTGTTGTTGTTAAGTGCTGTGAAGTTGGTTTCAACTCATTGAGACCCGGTACAGAATTTTTGAGGCTTTAAATCTTCACAGGAGTAGAAAGTTTCATCTTTCTCCCATGGAGTGGCTGGCGGGCTCAAACTGCAGACAGATCTTGTGGTTCGCAGTTCAGTGCTTATCGTACATAGCCACTGTGCTCCCACCACATTAGTATGTGTCCACCTCAACACAAAAAAATAATATATGCATGATGTGAACTTTTTGTAAGTATTATATTTCATATATCCTTTTTGCAACTTGCTTTCTTAAAAGCACAACATTATGTTTTTGAGATTTATTTCTGTAGCCACATGAAAGTCCACTTACACTCATTCTGGAACACGCCTTGTGATGCAGATGAAGTACCCAGGTGGTGCAGTTGATGCTCTTAGCTGCTAACAGAAGGGCTAGAAGGTCAACCACTGAAAACCCTGTGGAGCACAGCTCTACACTGAAACTAAGGGGTTGTAATGAGTTGAAATTGACTTGACAACTGGTAGACTTGCTGACCCTTCAAAAGC